TCTTTGTTTCGCTTATGTACGGACTCTCCCCTATAACCTCCCGAACCATTGGCCGAACTCGAGTCCTGACCCGTCTCTTGACCCGTATTACCGTTACTGTTCACTGATGTGATGTAACCGTTAGTATAACTACCGGAGTGTTGATTATGCAGTATATCGGCGTAACGGACGCTCTCTTTCTTCACATTTATGGCTGTCATGTGTGAAGACGTCGTGTAATTAGGATTTGTTATACCATTGGCTGCGAACACATTCTCATAGACAGGAGTTCTGCCATTCTCTGGGATCGTATGGCAATAATTCAATTTGTTCATCGAGAGGCATATCCGGATTAAACATCTCAATTTGTCCTGTCTCAAACAGATTGTGCGAAAAGAACTCCAATTCACGCTTTTGTTTCTATTAATATATCGGCGTAACGGACGCTCTCTTTCTTCACATTTATGGCTGTCATGTGTGAAGACGTCGTGTAATTAGGATTTGTTATACCATTGGCTGCGAACACATTCTCATAGACAGGAGTTCTGCCATTCATTGAATTTGAATGCTTTTTCATGTCTTGTATGGTCTTAATTGTCGGATCAATTAGTCCTGTGTTGGCGTTCAACTGATTCACGTATGAGTCCCTATAAGCCAGCAAATAGTGTCTCAAGTTTCCAAATTTGCAGTACTCCACTATCACTAGGAGTTCCCCTTTCACTAAGTTTTTAGTGACGGCACCCAACAAGTTCACTATATTTAGATGTCGTCCCAAATGAATCAGAATTTTGAGTTCAGCCATCAGTGCCTTTCGTTGAGTTATATCAGCCCTTTCTGTCACAATAATTCATTATTAGTTTAAATATTATTTTATTTATCATTTTATTCAAACCTTTAAGCATTTTAACAGCAACTGTAGTCGAGTTATCCCCGTCCTCCAGACCTATTGCCTCTGCTTTCACTACTCGGCCAAACGCTCCCTGTCCTAGTGTTCGGCCTAAATATAAAACAAATTTTATATAAATTTATAGTCATTTTATATAAATGTAGTTATTATCAAATTAAAAATAATACCTAGTTTTAGCCTTTCTTTCGGGAACTCATATCTGGGATCGTATGGCAATAATTCAATTTGTTCATCGAGAGGCATATCCGGATTAAACATCTCAATTTGTCCTGTCTCAAACAGATTGTGCGAAAAGAACTCCAATTCACGCTTTTGTTTCTATTAATTCATAACAATTGATATATCATAATGTGCTGGAAATTTAATACTCTTAACAAACCCTTTCTTGTCTAATCTTTTTGCCGATATAAATGGCCATAAATATCATAACAGTTCCCACGACAACGAATAATATAAAAACAATTATCTCTTCAGTGCTGAGTCCGGTAGTGGTGTCTTCAGGACTGTCCACTTTAAGCCTAGCGCTGGCCCTCACAGTTCCGCCGCTATTGTGTGCCTCACATTCATAAAGACCGGAATCCTTGTCCAGTATTCGTGTGAATGTAAGCCTTTGATTCCTGTCATCCAATTTGATTCCCGTGTTTTCGTTTACAATAAATGGCTTTTTATTTTTATACCAAGTGATCACAGGCTTAGGCCGACCCCAAACCATACATCGCAACTCTAGCTGAGTGTATGGGGTCTTCTCAATCACATTATCCTTCATATTAGACTCCGTCATAATTGGGGCCGAGATGTCTGAAGTTAAAGCACACAGTGATTTGGTCGACCCCAAACCATACATCGCAACTCTTGCTGAGTGTATGGGGTCTTCTCAATCACATTATCCTTCATATTAGACTCCGTCATAATTGGGGCCGAGATGTCTGTAGTTAAAGCACACAGTGATTAGTTATTATCAGTTTATGATTACTAGAAATTCATACTTTGGATGTCGAGTTTAAACTCAATATCATGTTTGATGTGTTGATTATCACGAGTTTGTGCTTCACAGACATAAATCCCAGAATCACTTCTTTCTACTGATTTTAATTGTATGGACAGAGTTATGAAATATTCATCGGTTGATGAGCTATGGATTAGATCTGATTTCGCAAACTAATTAGTTTTCAAATATAATATATTCATAAATTATAATTGATATTACCCGTCAGATTGGGTTCAATATCTGATTCCTCTATTTTGTCATACAATGGTTTTCTAATCCAATTTAATTCTGTATAGTTATATACACTGGCCTTACAGGTAAGGGTTATGTCGTCGCGAACTGTGGGCTCATCTGTTGATGATATGATTGAGAATCCGTTTATGGCATCTAATTATAAAATAACAAATTAGAGTATTTGTTGTGCAAATGTTCAGTTAATAAATACCTGATACGATAAATGAGATCTGCCTATGAATTGCAGTCGTGTTATCATTACTGGCGTAACAACGATAGGCACCGCTTTGGTTGGCTATTACTTGAAGACTCGTTTGACTTAAATATAATGAACTAATATTTTGCTTAATTAAAAGTTCACTATTTTCTAATAAACTCAAATTCCTTTGATTTTTTATATCAATCCAATCCAATT